TCAAAATTGAATCGTCATAGACTGTTGACAATTCTCAAAGAAACACAAATTCCTCCCCCATACCTAAAAGATACATTGTCCTCAATGCATAAAACATACAAAGACAAACAAGAAAAGTACATACAAACTCCCACATAATGTTAAAGAAAAAGAAACGGTACTTCCTTGGAATTTTGTAGTGGCGAAACAAAATTTGGTGTGAGTAAAGATCCACATATTTTGGTGCATTCGCACATGGGTTGACCAACCATAAAAATAATCCTTCAAAGCTAGCTGCCATACTTAAACAAACCATTAAAATAAACAAACACTACGCCAATCAAATGATTAAGAAAAACCACAAAAATAAAAAAATCATAGCTCTCAAGATCATCAGGAACAAAAAAACTTAACCACCCAACTGATTTATTCAAGAAAACCAATATCAAAAATCAAACAATTGGGTTGCCTCCCAACAAGCGCCATTCTTTAATGTCTTGGGCTAGACACAGTTTTGGCGCATCCCGGTGGAAACTTGCAAGCTCCACACATAACTGAAACTTGTGAAAATCCTACAAAAATCTCAACAAAACCAGAGGAAGTTCTAAATTTATATACACACTTTAAATCAACATAAGATGGTGGAAAATGATCTCCTCTAAATGTTTCTTTAAAAGCACCACACTTTCTTCACATATACCATGAAATCATGCATTAAATTCATTCCACAATCATCAAGAAATTTTAGAATTACATTCATCTTTATCCCCAATTCAGGAGGTCTAGATAAATGTCCATATGGAAACTCTATTTGCATAAGCACATGTGTTAACTCAAATTTTTGAGATTACCATTTCTCATAAATTTCAAGCACAAATTTAAAAATACAACTTCTAGAAAATTCAACTCGTGGAGCACTTTTAACATTCAAATTCACATATTCCTTTGATAATGATGTGACTCCATTTATCATTTTTATCCTAGCAGTTTTTCGAAATGATCTACCTAAGAAACATGGACTTGAGTTTAAGACTGAATTTCCTTTCACATGAATCACATCAAAATTAGTAGGAAAAATATTTTCACCACATCGGACTGATAAGCCATCTTCAACATGCACAATACTAGCACCAGACTCATCAACAAGTTTTATAACCTCACCAGCTTCATTCAATGACACACGTTTCAAGAACTTAAACACATATGGAGGGATTATGTTAACACCAACTCTAAAAGTCATGGAAAATTGATCATATATAACATGCCCAAAAGTGCAAGGAAGAGTAAGAGTAAGTATACCTGAATCATGGCTTTTAAAAATTTTTTTTGGCCAAACTATATCCGAGAGATGTTCTCTCATCGAAATTACCTCATTACCTTGGAGTGTAGATTCGTTATTTTTTGTGCACATCTTCTCTTCTGATTTATCACCATGAGAAAACTCATCAAGTTCCTCTGACAAAGGAACATGAACCTCTCCACTGAAAGATGTATCTATAGCATCTTGTTCATGCTCTTCATCTTTTAGTTCTTCTAACTTATCATGAAAAGGAGTGACAACTGAATCAGTCAAACTAGATAAAGGAAAATTATCAGTTACCTCATTTGCATCGTCTGTAGACTCTTCTTCATCTTCCATTACTCCTTCGTCCTCTGAATCCCATAGCTCAAAGTCTTCTTCACTTGGTGTTTTTAACTCACTATTTTGGATAGTCTCTTCATTCATTCTTGTAACCGTCTCAGATATTTGTCTGTCCAAATTTTCCCTGCTAGCACGTCTTTCATGGCAAAATTTTTCTATGTCAGTGGACAATTTCATAACCATATCTTCTAGATACATACCTAAGTTTGGTGACACTTCTGGAGGTTGACATGCTTGTGGTGGTGGTGGTGAGTAATAGTCGTAGGAGTAGTCATGGTTGCAATCTGAATATCCTTGCCAACTTGGATCATAACTATATGAATTGGATTCATAGCTTGCTTGTGGGGATCTCCAAGATTCTCTTATGGCATTCACTTGTTTCCGCTGGTAGTATGGAAACCTTGGACAAAAATCTCCTGTATGACCAATCATAAAACAAACACCACACCTTTGCAATTGTTGCGATTGACCTGCAGCCAAACTTGTCACAAGAGAGGTTAGTTCATCAAATTTTTGTTCAGTAGATGAAACATGTACCTCTTTTGCACTCCAATTAAAACCATCGCGTTGGTCCCAGAACTGCTGTCCATATGAATCCATGATAGAAAAAAAAATAGAACAGAACAAAAACAAAAAATAAAAAAAATTAAATGAAACAAATCAATGAAAACCGTTCCTCGGCAATGGCGCCATTTTGATGGGTGTCAAGCCAACAAACAATTTCACCTACTTTCAAACTAGTAGCATAGGAAAACAAGGTCGTCTCCTCAGGGAATGGTGGATTTGTTTCTTTCAAATAAGTAACCGAAAGGGGGGTTTTGAGTTTTTAAAACTAAAATGTAGTTAAACTAAAATTCAAATGATAGTTAAAAAAAAATGAAAGCAAATTATGAGAAAGTTTCTAGTCAAAAGATTTTATATCCACCTTGGTCTAGACAATTGATCATAGATGCAATGATGCTCAATCACTTATAGGCAAATTAGTTTTCGTTGTTGGAACCTTCTAACAACTCAATCTTGAACTAAGTTTAGTGATTAAGAAAACCTTCATTAAACACACTAGCCGAAATTCAATCTTGGAACCTCCTAAGATTAAGAAAACGACTGCATTAAGTACAAAGACCCAATTCTGGTCCCTATGAAACAAACCTTATTTAATAAAAAACCAGATTACTTGTTCTTATAACATAACAAAATCACTTACCAAGTAATTTAATTATATCAGTCCATTTTAAAACAACAAACCTTGCTGCCTTATTGGTATTTAACTAACATGAAATAATGAATGCTACCAGCTATTCATGAATCCACAATAATCATATCAATCATGCAATAGAACAAGCAAATACTCACAAGAAATTGAGAGAGAAACAACATTTAGATCTCACAACTATTCAAACCAAGGCTTCAATATTTTTCAACTAGAAAAATAATTTAATTACACATAATAAAGTCTTACTGAAACAAAACTATGGAGAATGGGGAAGAATAACGCCCAAAAAGGGCTAGATAGGCGGCTTAGGACCACTCCAGCCTCCTCTTCTTCTTCTCACGTTCAGCTCCCTCCCCAATAGAAAGAATAAAATCAATTTATATGGGGAACAAGTAGGTCAGCCGCAGCAGGAAATTAGTTTTTCCGAGATTTGCAAATTGGTCCCTCAAGTTTGGCAAAATTACATTTTGACCCAAAAAACTTTTTTAATTTTTCATTTTAGTCCCTACTTCAGTTTGGTCAAACGGGAATGCAGCATCAATGCTGGAATTTCTTCCCTAAGCTCAATTTTGGATTGAGATTCGTGTGCCCACACGAGAATGTGATGTCATTGCTCTCTTTTTGTGCTTTCTTGTCAAAATGCTCCAAAAATGTGTGTTTATGAAATATTTTTCTCAATCTCAGCTCCAATAACTCCTAAGAACCAAAAACATCAAAATACACAACATAAGTGCACAATCTAATCCAAAATGCTGTACAAATACCCATAAATAACATGAAACTTCAAGACCTATCAGATGCGAATGCTAGGTATAACACTCTAGGTAATCCTCCTCACACTCTCCTATGGCCAAGCCTTGCATCTCATGATTGAAACTTAGATTAAGGCACCCTGACCTCGGGAATCTCGACCAACTCCTCATGGTCTCTCTATAATAATGGTCTACAACATAATTGCGTGATTTTGGACCTCTAAAATCACGCTCGGGTAACATAGGTTCACGGGGAATATCCTGTACATAACCAAACTGACCTATAGCTCGCTCCGGCATGTATGACTCCTAGATGTTCTTGTACATTATCCACCCACTATAGATGGTACTCGGAACAACTCTAGCTGTTCGTGCCCAAATGGCTCCTACGTGACCTGCATAATAATATAGAATCATGTGAAACTATCTCAATCATAAAAAACATACAAAGTGCAGTAAAGTGCATTATAATGTACCTCTTCCAACAGGGAATGCACAAAGGGTGATGGAGTCTAGTTTTGTGCTCTAGGTCTTCATGCAACTCTACTAGCTCGCCTGCACTCGGGCTAGAAACATGGAAAATACTCGTATATCCATGCTGTAGCAGAGTCAGACAACCGCACAACTGAGTACACAGTGCCCTGCTAGCAATCCCAAGCTCAAGGTATAACAATGCCAGCATAGCAGATCCCCACGAGTATGAAGGACACTCGCGAGGCCACCAATAAACTCATTCACAAGTGAACCACTACACCTGCCCCCACTTTTGTCTAGGAACAATGTCTGGCTTAATACCACCCACAAGAAACCAATGGCTTGAGTCTCTACATTTGCGCCCTTGCATCGCTCAATAACTATCGAGTTAGTGATACCCCCATGATCCCAAGGGAGTTCAAACTCTGTCATACCAAGTATCCCAACACAATGTTTCCTCAATACATTCGTCCCAGGTGTACCATACACCACCTCAACCTCAAGTCCCATAATGTGTTAAACATCATGCACCATGATGGTCATCTCCCTGAAAAGCAAATGAAAAGAGTTTGTGTCCGGCTGCCGCCTCTATATGAATGCAAATACTAAGGCAACATTAAGATGCTGATATATGGGATCAAGAATGTGACCCTATCCTGTGGCACTGATCCTACCCTTCACAACATCATTCATTGAAGAATACCATGTCTTGCACTTATTAATAATCATCTTGCCCTTAAGCACTTTTAAGGTGGATCTAGGTTGACCTTCCCGTAACTTGTAAGCAGTATGGCCGAGAAAACTAGGAATCACGGAACCATCTATCGGCCCACCAGGCACTTCTTCTGTCACTATCAAATTATCATTGTTGGAAACCCTTGATCGGCTTCAGCTCCCTGAGATGTAATCATTAAATGTAATAAATAGTTATCATTATATGTCAACTACAAATATAAAAATACATACTTAAATTAAATAAATATAATTAATTAAACATTATTTAAACTTGTACCTGATGATGGAGCAGTGATAACAGGACGTCAAGATACATCCGTGGGGGAAGCTCAGGGGCGAATTGGATTCAAGGGAAGGTTGAGACCCGACCAGACCGGGGGGAGTAGACTTACCACCATGAGAAGTATGCTCGCACTGTGGACGGATCCACAGGGACACGAACCGTGGGAGGAGGAGATGGTAAAACTCCCTGACTAAGCCATTGACGTGTAACAGGGAGATGTGGATGAATTCCCTGATCTAGAATGTTATGCCTCAGGGGGTTGTACATAGGACGACCACCGAGATGTCCACCCGTCCTAACAGTGTCCTCCATATCCTCCTCATCATCCTCCACATCCTCCTCATCATCCTCATCCTCCTCATCTTCCTCACTCTCATCATCATCGGATACCCACATCGCCTCTATAATCTGCGGCCCAACCGGTACACTGCTCGGTCTATATTGAGACCCTTTCTCTCTTTTCTTTTTCGCTTTCTCCTCATTCTCCTTCCGAGGAGTCATGGTCACACCTCGTGAATGTGGCTTGCGCTTACCAGATTCGTTAAACTCATAAAAATCTTGTACATTTTTAAACAAAATTAAAGCCTAATTTAAAACTAAACTAAAATTAAAATGTAAATATACAAGATTAATCTACATTTAAATAAATAATTTAAATATTTAATTTAAATATTACTAAATTTAAGGCTAATTCAACGCTAAAATTACATAATTATATTTACATATAACTACATAAAAGACTAGCTTAAGACTAAATTTAACTAATTAAATTTAAATATTACAAATTAAAGTCTAACTCAAAACTATATTTACATAATTAAATTTAAATATATCTACATTTTAGTAATATTTAAAACTACATTTAAATAACTAATTAAAATAAAATATTACTAAAATTAAGGCTAATTCAAAGCTAAAATTACATAATTATGTTTACTTAAAACTACATTAAAGACTAACTTAAGACTAAATTTAACTAATTAAATTAAAGACTAAACTTAATTAAACATTTTAGTAATATTTAAAACTAAATTTAAATAATTAAATTAAAATATTACTAAAGTTACATAATTAAGGTTAATTCAAAACTAAATTTACATATAACTACCTTTTAGTCTGAAAAGGCAGCAGAGACAGGAAAAGGGCTTTGGACAACAGAAATTCAACTAATCTGGAAATCCAATGAGCTTGAAACAGCCCTCCTTCAAATGTCTATTGAATCCACAGTGATCACACTTCAGCAATTTCTTCTCAGTCTTATCCATCCTGAACTGGTTTTCCTTTCTAAGGTTGTGTCCAAACTGTGTTAATCCCTTTGAATTACTTCCTGAATTCAAACGTCCTGATTCTCCATTAAAATAACCAGTATTTGAATGGCATTTCCTATATTTGAATTCATTCTTTAAACCATCATTGCACTTTGATCACTAGGCTCAGTATAAATCTTGTTAACTATTTGCTCTTTCTCAACATTTATGACCATGGAATAAGCCTTCCTAACATCAAGCATGGGATCCATCATCACTACAAAAAACCCCGCTGCTACCCATGGCTTTCAGCGTGTCATGGGTAAATCGTGGGTAATTACCCAGGACATACCCACGAATTACCCATGAAACATTGACTAAGATCTGGTCTTAACTTTACCCACAAAATACCCACGATTTACCCACGAAATTACCCACGAAAAAAAAGTCATGGGTACACCGTGGGTAATGTTTTCCTGCCAAAAGATTTGACACGAATTACCCATGAAAACTATTGTGGGTATTTACACACGAATTATGTCGTGGGTGTTTCGTGGCTAATGTTTTTCCGCCAACAACTTTCCCACGTTTTACCCACAAATTGTGTTGAAGGGAATTAAACACGACCCTTTTCGTGTGTAAGTCATGGGTAATAATAACATTTCCCATGATTTACCCACGATATATGTTGTGGGTAATGTTGCCGTGGGTAATTGCTTGTTTAACGTGGGAAAGTCGTGGGTAAAATGCAATCATAAATTTTCAAGCACTTCTATTTTTAATTAATAGTTTGATCCTGTTAATTGATTTATTTAAAATAATGTGTTTGTTGGATTTTTTTTAATCTTATAATCCATTATTGTGAGAAGTATGTACGTATATGAAACTGATATAAACATTTGTTATATATATAGATAATTATGACTTATATGTACTGTTTATTTGAAGAAGACAATTATATATATATTGCATTTCAAAAAGACTACTCATGAACTATATAATCATGACAATAAGAGTATATGTAGTATTATTACTTTTAAGTTGTGACATATATATTGATAATGTCTACGATCACAATTATGATTGGATAAGTTGTGACATATATATTGATTCGGTTTGTGATCACATATATGATCATGACAATTAGAGTAAGAGTTTATTTGAAGAAGACAATTAGACTTTATTTCAAAAAGACAACTGATGATCGATATGATTATGACCATTAATGTATAGTATTATTACTTTTTAGTTGTCACATATACGTTGATAATGTTTGTGATGTTATGATTTGATAAATAATGATACCTGATCAGTTTAGTACATAATTAATAAAATTTCAAGGTTGAAATAAAAATGAATTATAAACTTATTTTTATTAATGTTTACTAATCACATCATTTTTCTTTAAATGAGTTTGAGTTTGATGTTCATTTGGATCAAAGTGAAACGTCATTTGGGATAGGGAGTACAAGTTTAGCATTATGTATACTACTATTTGGGTTAAAATTGAAATAGAAAAATTATTCATTAAAGGTATAAATAGAAATATTTACCTTGACACATGGATCAAATAAGAAAAAAATTTCTAGGGTGTCACTTTGTAAATTTAAGGGTGTCTGTTTTGTAATTTAATAAGGACCATTTTGACATTTAGAGATTTAATTTGTCAAAACTTGAAAGTAAAAATAAAAAATTAACTATCTTCCAAAAAAAAAAAAGAGGAAAAAATAAAATGCCTACAACTAATTTATTGTGTAAAAAACACGGGGGAAAACTCCAGCTTTGCCAAAATTTGGCGCTTTTAGCTAAATACCCCCCCCCCGCCTAACAGTTGAACGCTCAAATTTAACCAACACTCAACTCTTCCCTCAAAACTCTAAACCATCGCCGCTGTTCAATTCTCACCTCCGCTGTTCAGCTCTCAACACCGCCGCCCTCTTCTCTCGGAGAAACGCGAATCGGGAACAAATCAAGGCCTCCAATTCAATGTTTTTTGCCATAATGTGAAATCCTTCCTCATCCATCGATTTCAGATGTTGTGTTTTTGTTCTTGTGTCCTAGATCTGCTGGAGTTCCTTTCCAAAAAGAAGCTGTAGCACATCGTCGATTCTGGACTGAGAATCTGATCGATTTTTCCCCATTTTCGGCCAACCCTAGCTTACCTCCTCCATTCCAAATCCTTGCAGCCACCACAGTCAGTCCGCCACCACCACCTCTCACCATAGCCATCGCATCAAACGAATAGATCTGAGGTTGATAATGAATCGTTCGAATCTGATTCTATTCGAGACTCGATTGTATGGGATATTGTGTTGTGGGACTGAATCTGAATCGTTTGAATCTAAATCGATGCGGAAGAACGAGGACCACCCCTGCCAGCCAAGCCTTCGCTTGATTCGAACTTGCAGCCGCCGCCGCTGCCGCCACCGCAAAATCTTAGTCCCTATGGGATGCACATGGTTTGCGGGAGGACCAATCGATCATGTTGGCTTCTAAGCTGCAGTAGCAGTAACTTTTTTCCAGAGGCTTTGCCGGCGCCGAAAATGGGCTCAGATCCCCACCCGGAGGTTCCGATTCCGATGGTTTGACGGCAACCGGAGGAAGTGGGTATAACTTATTTATTAATCATACTCAGGTATAACTTATTTATTGATTTTTCCTAGTTGCTCCTCTTGGAGTTGTTACTGAGGAGGAGGACGTAGAAGTTGTCTTGAAAGAAAGGTAGCCACCTAGAAATCAAAAGTATAGGACCTGTCGACTGATTCTGGAAAATTCAAAGTATAGGACATGTGATTGGTTTTTGGAATGAACGATTCTTCTTGAAACAAAACATTTTGTTTGATTTCTTTTTGTGACCCTTTACTTTTTTCTTAAGGTGTTTGTCAATTTTTACGGAATGTAAAACAGAGTTTTATTTAGTTCTAAAAACGACTTTGAAGTTGGAATCACGATTATGAAAATTACAGAATCAGAGTTCTGTCGATTGAAATTTGAATTGATCGGATCTCCTTGAAAACAAACCTTTTTTTATTTATTCTTTCTATGGCTCTTTGCTTTACTCATTAAGGGGTTAGGCAGTTTTTACGGATCTTAAAATGGAGTTGTGGTCGATTCTAAAATTGAGTGAGGTTGACTTTTAAATCTGATTTTCCTACTGAACTTGACTTTTTAGTTTCGGCAGTCTGGTTGCTTTAGATTATTACTAATTGTTTCTAAATCATATTAATACCTTTTTCTTGTTTTCTAAGCTGTACATGGAACTTTATGGGTGTTGAAAGGACTTACAATAGATGTAAAACCTTGGTTTAATCATTTCTTTTCTATTTGATGATTTCTGAAATTTATAATTCCACATTTCAGACCCTCTGTTGACAAGGTTTTTCTCCTAGGCCATGAACTCTTTTCCAGTATTTATTTTGATGAAACTCTTCTTCTTTTAGTGAACTTTAATGTTGTTTTTTGTTGATTTTAAAATGGACTTTTGTTTTTTTCACAAACTCTGTTTGAATATTATAAGTTTAGTCACTAGGTTTCTGGTTTGTGTGACTGATTTTGGGGATTGATTTCTCATGTCTCTTGAACCTTTTTATGATTTTTTTTTTTTATAAGTCTTGTCTACGCTTGATGTAGTTTATTGTGGATTTTACGGATGGCTGAATGGAGGTATGGGCTGTCCAAAAATTGGATTTGAACATGACCTATATATTCTGTATTTTCTAAAAATTCAGTCTTGAAGTTATCTTTTAGGAGGAGAAATTACATGTCCTGCTACTAAAATAGTTAAAGAGGTATTTTGATGCTATGGGGATGCTAATTGATAGAGGTGTCAAATGCTTTACTCATTTGCAAATTGTAAATGCCTAAATCTTTGGGCCGAAGTTTAGTCTTACTTGAGTTTGCCACTTTAATTTGATCATGGGTACAAAGCAAAGCTTCTTGGTTTTTACATGGTTGGTGTTAATTCTGTTTATTGTTTTTGTTGCTGTTGTGTTTCCAGTATTTGAATGATATAGATGGATTAACTTTGGGGAATGTATGGTATCTACTTGATGTTAATTCTGTTTTTTCTTTTCTGCGAATGTTGAAATTAGTTTTGGCTTGTGTTTCAAAAGAATACTTTTGTATGTTTTCATTTGCTTCTCTTTGAAATGCTTTTTATGAATATTGTTGGTTGTTTTCAGGGGGCACCTATGGTGGTCTTGATCATTGAGTATGTGACTAGCAAGGTTGATGCTTATACTTTGCAAATGGAGA